GTTGGATGGATCGTGATATGGTCTGTCCGTTTAGTACTCACCAACTTGAAGTATAAAGTACCTCTACTCCCTTAATCATCTTCAACTTCACATCCCAGTCAATCTTCTAGCAGTCCTTCTACTTTCCGTCCTCACAATGAAGGCTTCCTGGGCTTTGGCAGCAGCCACTGCTGCTCTCACTTCCACGGTCTCCGCCACCGACGCCAGCGATTGCCACTGTCTGCCTGGTGATGACTGCTGGCCCTCCACTTCCAGCTGGGATACTCTGAACAGCACGGTGAACGGTCGCTTGATTGCGACTGTTCCCATTGGTACTCCTTGCCATGCTCCCAACTACGATGCTGCCGCGTGCAAGGAGCTGCAAAGCAACTGGTACTACCCGCAGACCCAGTAAGTTCGCACCTCTCCTAAAGGACATGCACACGTCTTGCCACAAAGCTAATTCCACACCGCTTTACAGCATGGACACTTCCTCGTCTGTGATGCAAACCTACTTCGCCAACCAGAGTTGCGATCCTTTCACCTCCGTGGATAGACCTTGCCTGCTTGGCAACTATGTGGATTATGCCGTCAACGTCTCGTCTAGCGATGAGGTTGTTGCGGCGATCAACTTTGCCAAGTCCAACAACATCCGTGTCGTCATCCGGAACACCGGCCATGAGTGAGTTGCTCTGCACGTTGACATATGACGATCCACGGCTAACAGCAGCATTAGCTATCTTGGTCGTTCCACCGGTGCTGGTGCTCTGGCCATCTGGACCCACCATCTGAACAACATTGAGTATGTTGACTGGTCCGATTCCACCTACACTGGCCCTGCCTACAAGCTCGGTAGCGGTGTCATGGGATTCCAGGTTCTTGATGCTGTCCACGCCAACGGCCACGTTGTGGTTGGTGGTGAGTGTCCCACCGTCGGTCTTGCCGGAGGTTATCTCCAGGGTGGTGGTCACTCTGCTCTGAGCACCTCGTTCGGTCTGGGAGCCGATCAGTCTTTGTCCTTCGAGGTCGTCACCGCTGCTGGCGATGTTGTCACAGCGTCTCGCACCAACAACACCGACCTCTACTGGGCCCTCAGCGGTGGTGGTGCCGGTAACTATGGTGTTGTTCTGTCCGTTACCGTCAAGGCCTACCCCGATGCCACCGTTTCCGGTGCTGGCGTTGAGTTCACCGCGGCTAACGTCACTACTGACGTCTTCTTCGAGGGCGTCGCTCGCTTCCACGAGCTGCTGCCCGCTATGATCGATGCCGGTACCACCGTCATCTACGAGATGACCAACAGCATCTTCCTGATCAACCCTTTGACCGGTTTCAACAAGACCACCGACGAGGTGAAGACCATCCTTGCTCCTTTCCTCTCCGCCCTGACCGACCTGGGCATCACTTATGCTGTCTCCTACACCGAGTATGATTCGTACTATGAGCACTACGAGAAGTACATGGGTCCTCTTCCCTATGGTAACCTGGATGTTGGTACCTACAACTATGGTGGTCGCCTGATCCCCCGTTCCGTTCTGGACTCCAACGTGACTCCCTTGGTCTCTGCTCTCCGCAACATCACCAGCGAGGGTATCATCGCTGTCGGAGTTGGTCTCAACGTGACCAGCTCCAACGACGTTGCCAATGCTATCTTCCCCGAGTGGCGCAAGGCTGCCGTGACCATGCAGATTGGTGCTGCCTGGAACGAGACTGCCCCTTGGTCTCAGATGGTCGAGGAGCAGTACCAGATGACCCACCAGGCTGTGCCGCAGCTCGAGGCCGCCACTCCCGGCGCTGGTGCTTACCAGAACGAGGCGGACTTCAACCAGCTGAACTGGCAGGAGACCTTCTTCGGCTCCAACTACGACAACCTGACCCAGATCAAGAACAAGTGGGATCCTGACCACGTGTTCTATGTTCTCAAGGGAGTGGGCAGTGAGTACTGGACCGTGTCGGAGTCGGGCCGTATGTGCAAGGCTTAAATTTCTGTATATGTGTCTTCTTAGGATTACCTTGTCTTCTTGGATGTATATAATGATCGACGTGAACTATAGATTAATTAATTATAGACTCGGATTGCATTTGTCGGGGCATTTTTGTTATAAGAGAGGTTCAGTCGCTTTAATTTTCAGAATGCCTAGGGCATGCTGGTAATATATACCGTCGATCTACTCTTCAACGTGAAGACGTACCGTTCAATGCCATGGTTTTGACATTGAACATACTCTGCAATCATCCAGAGATAGCGAGAATATGCCAGAATGCATGCGATACGTCAGTGTTGTGCTGCTGCTGCTGCTGAAGTGGTGATGAATGATATCATGGGCGGCTAGGGAAAGCATGCCGGACATGAGCTGTCAATTTTCACTGCTGAATTGTGAGCCACGAGTCAATCTCATCCAACATCATGCAGAACTATCGGGTGCCTGCCTTCCTACAACATACGTCAAGGGTCCAAAGCCTTCAATAAACGATTGTTCTGCATGATCAGCCTTAATTAACCGAAATGGAAGACAGGAGATTAAGAGGACAATCCATTGCGCGTCCGGTGGCCATGGACCACCAATCAAGGGGTCTAGCCCGCTCTCCGCCTACCGGAACAGGCAAGAACCATCACCGCCCGGGGGATGATCCGACAAATCGAGTCCACTCGACTATACTGCCTTGAGTCCGGTCCCTCCTCCTCTTCCCTTCTCTGTGCCGTCCCTGTTTTAATATCTCTTGGCCCCCTCCCCCTCCCCCCGCTTTCTGCGATGTTTTATATTCTTCTTGACCGTCGCTGTCTTCTCTACAGTTGATTTCTGTCATTCTTTCGACCAGTCCTTACCTCTGCCCTTTGGGGATACGCTTCCCCTTTTACCCCCCCCCCCCCCCCTTCCCCCGTATTTAACCGTCTGTATATACAATATCCCCACAAATCGCCGATGATCGATAATCGACCAGCATGATCCGCACACTCGCCCTCGCCAGCAGCGCGGCGCTGCAACTTCTCCTCTTCCTTGCCTCCCCTACCGCCGCCGACAATTTCCCGTATGTCGGATACCGAACCGCGGCATTCCTGCCCCCCCAACTCAAAGTCACCAAGACCGGCGCCACGGACCCGGGGTACATCTTCGTCGGGCCGCGGGGCAACCAAGGACTGGGGACGGCGGCGCTGATCTACGATGAAGACGGGCAGCTGGTGTACGAGGGCCCGCCGGAGGTGACGGCCAACTTCCGGACGCAGCGGCTGTACAACGAAGACGTGCTGACGTTCTGGGCGGGGGACATGACGGACCTGGGGTTCGGGTACGGGACGGTGCACATCCTCGACAACACGTACCGAGAGATCTACACGGTGACGCTGGGGGGCAACTTCGTGTCGCCGTTCGCCGAGCCCCGCGACTCGTACATCGACCTCCACGAGAGCCACATCACAGACCGCAATACGCTGCTGGTGACCGCGTACAACGTCACGCAGCACGATCTGACGGCTATCGGGGGCGCGCCGGACGACTACATGCTGGACGGCATGTTCTTTGAGATCGACATCGCCACGAATGAGATTGTGTATGCGTGGAGTGCGTTGGAGCATCTCGCGGAGATTCCGTTGGAGGTCTCGAAGCAGGGACTCGGCGCCGAGTACGGCACCAAGGAGAAGCCGTGGGATGCGTATCATATCAATTCGGTGGAGCTGATGGATGAGGGGTATATCATCTCGTTGCGGCATTACTGGTCCGGGTTTTATATTCATAATAATGGCACGGTGATGTGGCGGCTTAGTGTAAGTTCATCCTGATCTTTGTGCTTGAGTTTTGAGTTACTTCGCTGTGTACGTTGTGTGAGGTCTAACCTCGTCCAGGGGGAGAAGAACACGGGCGACTTCGAGATCGACGACAAGGCGGTCTTCTCGTGGCAGCATGACATCCGCGTCTACAACCAGACGGCCGAGGGCATGGTGCTGAGTCTGTTCAACAACGCCAACACGCCGACGGAGACGGTGGCGGCGACGACGGGGCTGAGCTTCTACGTCGACCTGGTCGCCCACAAGGTATCGACGCTGCGCGCGCTGTCGGACGCGGGTGACGTGATCCACAGCGTCAGCCAGGGCAGCTTCCAGCTGCTCAGCCCGGAGTCCGGACATGTGGTGCTGGGGTACGGGTCGATCGCGCGGGTCAAGGAGTACGACGCGCAGGGCCGGGCGGTGCTGACGGCGCAGTTTGGCGAGGACAACGCGGTGGCCTCGTACCGCGGGTTCAAGTGCCAGTGGAAGGCGACGCCGTTCTGGCCGCCGGCGGTGGTGGCGATCCGCACGTCGGACGACCAGGCGACGGTGTCGATGAGCTGGAACGGGGCCACAGAGTATGACAACTGGGCGATCTACGAGGTGGCGACGGACGGGGAGGCGAGTTTCGTGAAGAGCGTGCCGCGGGCGGGGTTCGAGACGACGGTGCATTTGAGCGGGCTGACGAGTCGGTCTATGCAGGTGGTCGCGCGTGAGGGGAATATTCCGTTGGGCATGTCGGCGGTGATAGATGTGTAGGGTGTATAGATGCATAGCTAGAGCTAGACTCGCTGCTGCACATTGTACATTAGACTGTACCTTTATATTGAACAGACGCAATAGAAACTGCTTACCTTTGGCTCTGTTATACTCTGTTATACTCTGCTCCTACACTCCTATGCCTGTACTCCACTGTACAACCGATGAAGGAGCACAGTCGAACCGACAGTTACAGCTGACGTCGACCATGTCGTAACCGTACATGGGTAGATCGCACAGGGATCCGAGCTGTCCAACGTGCCCAGCTGTATAGCATACACCTTCAACTGGAAAAGATTGAGCTATATGAACTACACAGTCCTAAGCTATATAAACACATCCACCACCTCACCACAAACCTCATTCCATCACCAAGCCCTAACCAACCAACCCACCAACCAACCAACCAACACAACAAGCATAAGTAACAAGCATACAAACACCCTCCTCACCTATCCCTTATTAGAACCCGAACCCCAAATCCACCCCCAACACCAAAAAAATGCACTTCTTAACCCTCCTCCTCCTCCTCCTCCCCCTCCTCCCGCTCACAACAACCGCAACCGCAACCGCAACCGCAACCGCAACCCCCGACCCTCAACCCCTCACTCTCAAGCCCGCCAACGCCACAATCCACAATCTATGCCCCTTCCCCATCTACTTGACAGCAGTCTCCTCCACCACACCCCCCGAAATCCCCCTGCCCCCAAACACCACCTGGACCGAACCCTACCGCCACGACCCGCAAACCGGCGGGATCAGTCTGAAGCTCACCACCGTCCCGAACGGGCTGTACACGGGCGCGGCCCAGACCATCTTCGCGTACAACTACCTCGAGCGGACGGGGCAGGTGTGGTTTGATTTGTCGGATGTGTTTGGGGATCCGTTCAAAGGGTTTAGGGTTCGGTTGGGGCCGATGGGTCCTGCACCGGGGAATGCGTCGGAGATGATTGTTTGGGAGGATGGGGTGCCGCCGAGGGGGAGTCAGGTGAGGGTTGTGGGGTGTGAGGTTGGGTTGGGGTTGGGGGTTTGTGTTTAACACCTCTTTCTCTAGCTGGGGTTGGGGGGGGGGGAATGGGGGATAGGGGATGGAGGCTGATGGTCTTGGGAGAGGGGAAGTGGATTGTTTATTTGGGTTATTGGGGGCTTTGGATTCTTTGTTTGTTGAGGTGCGGTATAGGTATAGGTTGGAGAAAGAGATTGATAGTCTTTCGTTGTAGGGGTGAAGTATGATGCTGTCTGGATTTGATATTATTGAGCTTGTACAACCAAGGAGATGTGTGGAGAACGGAGACGCGAGCTACGATGGGCAATTCGATACTTGCTTCTAAGAGAACGAGAGTTATGATTCAATCTCAATCATGTTGAGCTAGCTGTTCACTTACGATGTAGGACATACGGCAAAGGAGGTACGATCTACAACCGCAACGGTTCGCTTGAAAGCAGGCTACGAAGGCTGGCTACGAACTACGGCGACGACCTAAATGCCCGCATGTTCCGCCATCTCAATCATCCGGTCCAATGCCTCCAATATCTGGGCCCGGTCCTCCGACTCCACGCAGCCCAGCGACCGCCGGCACGTCACGACCGACACATACCGCAGCACGGGACAGACCCCCTTCATATGCTCCAGCACCTCCGACCACAGCGTAGCACTGCCGTGGGCGTACGTCACGCAGATCTGTACGCGCTCCAGCGTCGGGCCGTACCTTCCCAGAAACCCCATCAGGGCCTCGAGGTTGATGTACGAGCCCGCGACCTCCACCCGCTTGAGCGGCGCGGGCGCACGCAGCGGCGGATCCTCACCGGCCCAGATCGCGCAGCGCAGGGGAATCACGTAGGAGCGGAAGAACACCCGCGGCGAGACGATATGTTTGAAATCCTCGAGCTGCGGCGCGTTCTGCAGGATCTCCGGCAGCAACACCCGCAGGTACTCGATGGCGCCGTTGTCCTCAGGCTCGTAGACATGCAGCTGGCGCAGCCCGGTCCAGATGCTCGAGATGCCTGGCGGCAGGTACGGTTGGGGCCAGTCGAGGAGCTGGATCGCGCGGCGCCCGGGCGCCTGTCGCTGGAACAGAACCAGGTAGCGGAGCTGGATCTGGCTGACGGCCAGCATGCGGCACAGCGCGTGCAGGCTCAGCATGTCGTCCATGCGGTCCGCCTGGTCCGGCGCGCCGTAGTAGAGTACCATCTCCCGGCACCGCGCCAGCTGGTGCTCCAGGGTCTGGCCCAGCTTGCGCAGCGCCGCGTCCGTCCAGAAGCTGTCGCACGGGGATTCCGGCGGATACACGGCCAGCCGCTGCGGGAATTTGTGGTAGAACTCGCGGTTGGCGATCTCGTCCACCTTGTCGTAGCCCCGCGCATCGAGGGTCATCGACAGAGTGCGCAAGCCGCACCGCGCGAAGGGCTGCAGTGCCTTAGCGCTTACCTTTCGGGATACTGTGCGGAGGCTGGTCAGGGTTTCAACCGGGAGGTGCTGCGCCATCTGCCAGAACAGCTCTACGGGCATATTCTCCAGATCGGGGGGAGGGGCTGGCTCGCCAGACTCCGACTCCATTTTAAGATTTCTACAACACGGATGCGTAAAGACGTCAGAAGGGTGTCGGAAGAGGTGTCAAGAACAGAGGTGTGGGGGAGATGGCGCTGGACGTGTGGGCCGGCGAAGCAGAGTGCTTCTGTAGCATTTATACTCTCCATGATTGCCTGCAAACTGGGATTCATGTCTATACTGTCGTTAGTTCTTGATAAACACCGATCAACCGAGGAAGGACAATAAGATTGTTGGATCTGACAAAGAGCTAACCTTTTTGTCAAGTCGCTGTGCCAGATCAGATCCCTTCGAAGTAGACCTTATGCTTTGTACAGCTCTGAAAAAAGCCCACTATATTCATTGTGTCTAGAGGGGTTGACGTCCGTCTCAGCCATCTGCCTTGTCGAATGATAGAGCTAAAGAAAAAAAGGTTGGACCCGAAGCGACGGCAAACTTAAAACATAGACATCGATTGTCGAGGTTTGAGTTGATCGAGCTGAGATGTATGACCCATAGTCGCAAGGCAAGCCTGGTAGCTTGATGGCTTGTGTTGGAGACCATCGTAGCTGTGGAGACAAACATTGTTAACTATGGCAATGAGCGTTGAAGGCGACGGAGAAACCGTTCAGGTTAAAATAGTCATCTCAGCGTGAAAGCTTGGAATTTCCAACCATTCCGCAGGGTGAGGAGCCAGACAAGACTCCAAAAGTAGTCCTGAACAGCATGCACATTGCTTTGCAAGGCAACCGGAGAAAACCCTCGGAGAATTGCTGCATGATGCATGCATCTAGCCACTGTGAGGGGTAGTCCATAGATTGGTAGATGGCAAAGAAGTATTGATGTGCATAGAGTGAGGAGAAGAGCAGAAAGCGGGGAAGAACACGAACAGACAAAGCAAGCAACCACCAACCACCCCGTAACTTGACCTCTTCTCCATCCACTCCATCCATCCTGCATGCATGCATGCAATGCTTGGGCCCCTCGGAGAAATACACAATCTGCACGGCTGAATCAATGCAAAGGCAAGCCAATCGGAGAAATAGCACCATAGGTCCCAAAGTCGAACCAGATTGGAGCTCAAATTTGACGACCGCCATGTCTACTTAAACCTTCCACCAGAGCACATTCTCAACGTCAGCTCATACTAAACAATCTTCTTGTGAAAAAGCAATGACCGTGGAATCCATCCCTCAAATCCAGACCGTAGCTCTGGTCAATGAACTCGGGGGCAGTGTCGAGTTTCGCGAGGACTACCCCGTTCCTACACCGGGTCACAATGAGGTTCTAGCCAAAGTGCTATACACAGGGGTTTGCCAGAGTGGTCAGTACACTGTTCGGATGATAACCCCATACTGAAATCCATGAAATGCAGACTTGCACACGAAGAACGGCACGGCTGCCTCGTCCGAGGGCACTCCTATCACAAACATCAAGATCCCCCATGTGGGCGGCCATGAAGGCGTGGGACGAATTGTGGCGCTCGGCCCAGGGTGTGGAACAGACCTAAAGGTCGGAGGGCTTGTCGGAATACGATTCTCAAGTCGGATCTGCAGACGATGCGAGTTTTGTCTGGCTGGAACCGAGCAGTACTGCATCAAAAGCACCAACCATCTCCATCATGAGGATGGAAGCTTCCAGGAGTACATCGCGTTGGATGCTGACTACTTGACGATCCTGCCGGATGATATCGACCCTAAAGTCATTGGCCCCGTTCTGTGCGCTGGTGTGACGGCTTACAAGGTACTTCACCTCACTCGCCACAAGTATATCGCTGACTGTATAGGCTGTTCTCAATGCAAACATCCGGGCGGGCAATTGGTTAGTGGTGGTCGGCGCAGGGGGAGGCCTCGGGCACTTGGCAGGTGGGTTGTATCAGAGCAGAGCAACCTCATAGAATGCTAATTGGTTAGTGCAATATGCGAAAGCACAAGGAGCACTTGTCATCGGCGTTGATGCCGGTGACAAGCGGGACTTTGTCCTCAAGCTGGGCGCTGTCGAATTCATTGATTTTACCACAACGGACCCGGTCCAGCGCGTCCATGAGATCACCGGACTTGGCGCACATGCGGCGGTGGTGACCGCTGGCAGCGCCAAAGCTTTCGCTCATGCGTGCGAGATGCTACGAGTCGGAGGGGCTTTGAGCTGTGTGGGAATCCCTCCAGGACGTCCAACCTTGCAAACGCCGATCGCCACCATTGTGATCAAAGGGCTTCGGATCACCGGCAACCTGGTCGGATCACTGAAAGAATGTATGGAGGCCGTGGATCTAGTTCGTCGCGGGGTGGTGAAGCCAGAGATCAAGGTCAGACCGTTCAAGGACTTGCCTCAAGTCTATGAGGAGATGGAGAAGGGCGATATTACGGGGAGAATCGTGCTCCAGATATCAGAGTGACCGAACATATTGCTGAGAGTGTAATCTATTCTGTGCAGCATAGGTAGGCAGACAGCCACTTCAAATCAGCTGACCAATTCAATCCGGCGTGGAGTGGTGAGGAGATCTTCCACATTAGCTTCCTCGGGCTCTTCCGTCTGACGGCTCAAGATTTGCTCTGTAAGCCTGTTATTATTACCATAGCCGAGGCCCAACAAGCGCGCAGGAGCTTTGACCAAAGCTTCGGCCGTCTTAGCCCGGAGCAACGCCTTCAGCATGGGATCTTGCTCCAAGAAGGGCAGCAATTTCTGGTACAGAGCATGCAGAAAGTCCTGCGGCCTCCACTGCAAGGTCGAGTGCACAGCGCTCGACCCCGGCAGCAGGATAGTATCTGCTAGTGAGTTCGTCACCTCGAAGCACTTTAACAACTGCCCGCTCTCAGCGTGATTCCCAATCTCTGAACCAGACAGAGCTTACCTGGTCACGGCCCAACGGGAGCAGGTCCGACTCGGTAAACCCCTGCAGAGAGCAGAGGAGAGAACGGCCCACGACTGCAGGAAAGCGGAAGGTCATGAGCTCAGTACAGGAAGTCGACGAGAGCAGCCGCTGCGACAGTGCTTTCTGCCAGATCATCGTGCGCATCCATTCTTTCGTAATGCAGTAGTCCGCCAGACGCGTTGACGGGCCGCCCTCTTGCCCTAGAGACAGTACTGCCAATGCCGCCTCGGCCTCTGCCAGACATTCTGCATTTTCCGAAGTGCCTGCACTCCCACGCCCGCCGCAGGTCACATCGAAGGTTGCAAACAGCCGGCCCAGCTGCAGTAAGCCCTTCACCTCTGCATTACCCTCGGAACTGAGATCAGGGATCACGACGGGAAGTGTATAGGACGGTTGTAGCCCTAGATGCATAGCATAGCCCCTGCGAGCTGTCAATAACAGCAACCCTTCGGCAGACAGCACCATTACCTCTCCGAGATCCAGAGCAGGAGAAACACCACCTGCTTGTTTGCAATCACATCAAAATCGCAGGCCATGCCCCCGGCATTCAAACCCAAAAGCCTAGCCCCCCCGATGGCCTCCTGTATGAAGGTCATAGCCGTGTGGCGTCGGTTGATCTTGGCGTGGTACACATGCAGGAAGAACGAAACGAGGATACTTCGCACGTCGGGGCGCTCTCGATAGGAGCTCGCGTCCCGCAGCCTCATACACTCGGCTGCCATGATCGTGCAGTCGACGGTGGCGTTTGTAGTGTGCAGTGGTGACAGTTGCAGCTGAGCCATGGTGGCGGCAGAGAGGGCCAGAGCTAGACAGAGAGTGTCGACTGGCGGTGCTGATTTGAGCTTCTCGAGGAGAGCGGGGGCATCGATGACCGGCCAGACGCTGTAAGAGGTTTGCCGGTATAGCTGAACAACATACGCCAGCGCTACGAGAGGGACTGCAGTGTGGTACTTTGGGGGAGCATCGTCAGGACTTAGAGACTGAGGGGCTGCATGTGTTTTGGGAGTAGACCATCGTCTCGCCTTGGGACCTCTGCGCCGGACGGGTTTGAGGTAGGTGCAATTGACCGGCTTGGGATTCTGGCGACAGGCATCGCAGGGACGAGCGCCGCTGCATTTGACTTTTCGGGCAATGCATTCATCACAGGCTTTTTTGACGAGGTGGCGCATTGTCGAGAGGAGAGTGTGGTAGGCGTCGTGAGGAGAAGGAGAAGGGAGGAGAGGAAAGGAAAGAGGGGAAGAAGCGGAGCAATGCAGATGATACTACTAATATGTAACTACTGGGAATCGAACGACTTGCTCTTTCCGCTTTACATCCAACTTGACGCCGCTTTTTGCTCACTAAGCGGCCCAGAGTGTGGGAGGAGTATAAAAGTGCGTGTCCTAAGTAATTTTGTAGTACTCCTAGATCACTCCAGGAATAAATACCTTTAAAAACAAGTTCAGATAATCTATCTATTTTTATATTGTCTAATTAGGCTTAGTTCTCAGCTGGCTCGCGTTTGCATGCTCTCAGAGGAATAAAGGTTTATAATCAACAAAGGTCTTCAAATTCAGAAAAATATTCAATAAATTTATCAATCTATAAATATCTGATAAGAATCCATAAATCAAATATCTGAATCTAAATCTGATCTATAGGCTCTGCCGACTAACCTAAAACCTGCCAAGAAACAGGTCGGGTCCAACCCGATCTGTTAACCCGCGGGTTTTGGCGAGGCCTCATCTCAACCTGAATTTTTTTTGCAATACTTCGCTATCCACAATGGATAGCAGTGGATGATACTTTATAGTAGAAGGTGTACGTAATTCATGCAACGTATCATGAAGGATCGAAGCCAAGATGTCTCAAAGGAGAACCACTGATGACTGCGGAAAGGAGGTCACAACGAAACTCGCCTGAGGCAGGGACAAACAAACAGAGGCAAACATGGATGGATCACTGCACCTATGGTCTGTACAGTCCGCCCTGCGCCACGGCATCTCTTCGGCTGCTTCGTTTTTACAATGGATCAACTTCTTGATCATAGCGGTTGACCACACGGAGGGGCGCTGCGTTCGATATAAGCTCACTCGCTCTCTTCTAACTTGACTGCTAGAGAAGGTAAACACATTATATGAACAGGGCGTACACACTAGCTGAAGGAAAACTCGAAAATCATCCTTACAAAAGGATGTAGTACATATGTTGACAACCCTACCAGCAAACACCCGAGATGAAGCACTAGGACTATCTCACCTACCACGACAAACTGCTTCATACAAGATACACATACTTTACATTCCCCATACCTTGCCACTTCTGCCCACTCGCGCCCTCAGGTCATCACTTCACCATTGAATAATCAGTCCTGCTCCCATCGTCACTCCAAGTCTTCAACCCCATCACCTCCCATAAACCCACCACGCCCCCACCAACCCCATCACAGCGAAGACCACAGCCCATCGCACCAACCCCCGCTTAATATGATAAGCAGCCACGCGATCGATCGCTTTGGAATCATTAATTCTCGGGAAAGGAATATCCTTGGGGACCTCCTTGCCCAGAGCCCGACACAGTGGCTCCCACCCATCCTTAACACTGAAAAACACCAACTGATCCGCGGGCACCACCTCCTTCAGCCACTCGAGATGCCGGTCATAGATCCAGGCGTTATCGCGGCTATTATTGTAGATCCGATCCCACTGTCGCTGCAGCAGGTCGATGTATGTCACGAAGTGCCGCATCCCAGGCAAGGGGAGCAGAACCGCCCCCAAGAACCACAGCTTAGCCAGGGAGCTGATCTGCTGCATACTCTGCACCCAGCTGTCGCGATCGCGCACGGTCACGATCACTTTGGCATTGGGATAGAGCTCGAGCAGTTCGGGGACAAATTGGCTGGCCGGGGCGTCGGTGATCGCGCCGTAGCCGGCGGTGCGGGCGCGCAGCAGCTGCAGGGTTTGGGGCTTGTTGCCCGCGAGCCAGGTGCGCAGGATGGTGTTCCACGATTGGATCTCAATGGGGGGTCCCATCGTGGTTTGCGTGCCCCCGTGGTAGACGGGAGCGTCCAGGAGGATTTCTAGGGCTGCAGTGAAGGATGCGGTTCCCGTGCGGGAGAGCCCGGCCCCGATCACCTGCAGGTCAGTGCCGGGGCGGGGGACGGACGCTTGTTGGCCCATGTTGTATTTCAATTCAAGCGTAGAAGGTAATAAAGATTGTGTTCAAGGTTCGATGGTGAAGTTAGAGTGGAGGAGAACCTGGGTTTAAATGAATGCCCTGAGGTGACTCTCGTTGGAGATGAGGTGATGATGGGGCAGTGCTGGAACAGAGCTAGTGCTGACCGCCACGGCAGGGATATAAATGTAGTTAGAGAATGACACCTCACATAACTATACTTACTAGACACGTTGGTAGCACGGTATTTCACATTACGTATAGTATACGTGTTGTCATTTATGTACAGTCATGCCATTACTCAGCCAACTACCCTCCACTGCACACCTACGCGATGACCTGCAACCGACTCGGCAACATGACATCCAGGGCCTTGTATTGCGTCTCCTCCTTCTCCTTCTTCTCCTCCTCCTCCACTGACAGCAGACACAGCCGGAGCACCCGCGGCCCCCAGCGGTGGAATTGCGGGGCTCCCAACGCGGCCACGCAATAGGTCAGGGACAGCAATCGCGAGCCGTAGCTGACTTTCTCGATCCAATGATCCTGAGCAAGGGTCCAGGTACCTTCGTGTATCTGCAGGTGCCGGGTGGCCTCTACAATGGCCGTGTCGATCCTCTCCCCCAGCGGAAGGCTCCACGGCAGCGAGGCGATGCGCTTCAATGCCAGCAGCGTATACCCGGTGACTTCCGCCGACGCAGCATCGCCCGTGATCTCTGCTGCGTGCGGCGTCTGAAGCAGCTGCACCGTGATCTCTGCGAGCACCCGCAGAATCCCCTGGTGACCCATCAGCTCCGGCAGGATCTCCGGCAGGTCGCCGTGGTCCCACCGTTGCAAGGCCAGTACCAGTGCCTCGGTGAGCAGCATCATCGAGTACTGCGGGCGCAGATTCTAGCACCCCAAAGTCAATATCAATGTACAAGATCTCAGTGTAACACGAGGTAAACTTACCCATTTGTCAGTCAATCCCCCTCGATGCCACCGCTGGCACAAATACCGGAGCACCTTAGAGATCTGTGGCTGGTGGCGAGCCGGATTGCTCGACGTCAGCAGCGCCTTGAGAACGTTGCAGTTGGCGCTGAACGAATCCGTCACTTCCAGATCGTAGGTCTTGAAATGTGCCTCGTCCTCAAACACCTCGACCATGCGGTCACAGCTCGTCTGGCGGCCCGTGCTGTTGAGAAAGAAGATGCACTTGGCCGTGTCGTCCGCGTCGGGGACCACCCCCGGGGCTGGCAAGGTTATAGTAAGTATATAAGGTCATGAACACCCTACAAATAATTCAGGGACCCAGACGGATTAAAAACATACCAAACCCGCACACTCCATCTGATTCCTCCAGCTGCCGCGTCACGAATGTGGTAAGTTTGTGAACGGCATCCTCGCCTAGCTGCTGCGTCGAGTGTCCAGACTCCAGCAGCGTCGACAAACACTGCCATGCGCCGAGCATCAGTAATCATTTCTTATCAAAACAGTTGTGTCATATTGATCGACACATACCCAGGAAATTTCGAACATCGTGATTGGAAACGCACTGGGCACCATTGCCCCAACTCCCTGCTCGACAACAAACCGCAGATACGCCTCAGCCCTGGCATCCCACCGCGTAGCATGCATGAGGTATGCGGCCGTCGAGGAGGGCGAGTTCAGCATCGCCCCGTGGGTCAGGTGGTGCGCGACGGCGTCGAAGTCGATGCGCCCGATGAAGGCCTCGAGGGAGTGGAGGAGCGTGGTTTTGCGGGTCGAGTAGAGCATCGAGGGGTGGAAGCGAGCCATCTTGCGCGCGTTCAGCTGCATCAAGGCCGCGTGGCCGGGGAAGCTGGCGCGGAGGTCGATGCCTCCTTCGGCTTTGAGGAGGTCGAGGAGGCAGGGAATGAGAATTTCGAAGCCGACGTGATCGGTGGCAAGGACTGCCTCGTTGTCCCAGGTGGAGAGGGCGGAATGAAGGTAGCGGATGCCCCGGTCGATGCGTTCTTGTAGGTCTGATGGCGAGCAGGAGGAGGAGGGCGTGACAGTAGGATTGTGCGCGTGTTTGCTCAGAGCAAGCACCGCAGCCATTGCGTTCATCACTTCGTCCACGCGACTGGCGCGCGAGGAGCCAAAGCCCCCGTCGGTCGATTGGCTGTCCAGCACAGCCTGGAAGCATTCGGGGAAGAGCCATTGTGAGTGCAGGTGCTGGGCTGCGTCGCGATGGTCATTGAAGACGCCCTCTGGTTTGATGATCAGGGCCAGCCAGGCTGTATCGTAAATGCACGGGGTCATCGAGCTGGATCCATGGTAGGGGGTGTCGAGGGAGGTGGTGAGGTACTCCATGATGGAGTCCACCTTGTTCTGCAGTTGGAGTTCCTGCGTCATGACTGATGGAGATTTATTACAACAGCAAGAAGGGGAGTAAGTGATGCAGGAAAAAAGCCCAAGGTTCAGACTGAGGATTTAAGTCCTGGGAGCTGGTGGGCTAAATATCTATTACTCTAGCAGTAATGCATATCGCAGAACGCCCTGACCAAGATGTACTATTGTCGGCACACTTAGAGACTAAATCCATCCTTCGAACAAATGAACCTAAGCGACAACTCCTGAACCGTTTACGCCGGTCTAAGCCCTGCTCACAGATTAATCGACGCGGCCCTTCGTAAAGCAAGGCATTGCACTCACTGCGGCCATTCTCCTCGGAACTGCCGACAACAAATGAGGATTTTTTGGGGGCCGTTAGGATTCAGGAGCCGACACTGTCAGTGCGTCTTTCAGCATTGGCCCGCGAGCTTATTGAGCCATCTGATAGGAATTGATTTCGTGTTGTGCTTACGCTTAGCGCTACTATCAAAGGTGGGCTGATGGACTGGGGGCCAGAATAGCTTACAAACATGCGGTAAATTATTTTGAGAAGCCTAAGTGTATTGATACACTAGCATACTATAAGTCCCTAAGCGGGTTGTGATTACGAAAATAACTGACACCAGGGACTAGATCCAAAATGCAGACTATGTTTACCCTTACGTACAATACGACAGACGAGTTTTAGACGCAGCCCCAAAAGGGCACGCATGATTCAATTAGGCAGCTAGGTTTTTATCTCATTCGTCGTAAAGTCATCACTTGACAAGGTCAACTCGAGGCTTGATCCACAACATCAACGGCTGCTTCTCGACCATCATCATCGTGGGAAAATCGTCAAACCACACCGCCTTGCTCGGCTCCTCACGCAGATCAAATGCCCACAGCGTGCGCGTCAGAATCAACCGCATCTCCAGCCACGCCAGCGGCCGGCCCAGGCACACGTGGAAGCCCACGCTGAAGGGCTTGGAGGCGGACAGCCGGTCGTGGGCGTACTCTGCCGGACGTCCTTCGCTCTCCGACAGCCACCGCTCCGGGACGAAGGTCCCCGGGTTACAGAAGTACTTGGTGGAGCGGTTGACCGAGAAAGTGCGGACGCCAATCCGGGTCTGGATGGGAGAATGAGTTAGGACTGGGTTGTGGGGAAGATAATGTACGAGGGGAAACAACACAGAGGGTACTCACGCCTGCTGGAAGATCAACCCCAGCATATTCATCGCCTCCTGGGGGCACCATACGCGGTAGTCCGGCCGGTACAGGGTTCGCCATGCGAAGCCCTTCTTGGATGACGGCGTCGAGGTATGGGAGCTGAACGGCATTGATCTTCTCCAGAGTGATCTGCTGCTCGGTCTCGTAGGCCTCCCGAATCTCGCGGGTCAGTCGGTCGAGAATGGGTTTGTTTGCGGGCTTGCAGAGGTGGTTGAAGATGCCCGTCATTGACGTCGCGGTGGTTTCGGAGCCTCCGACGATGATAAACGTAAACGAAGAGAGAATCTCATCGCGGGACATCGACTCGAAGTTGGGATTCCGCTTCATGAAGGGGGTCATGAAATCGGGGCGGTCCGTCTGCGCGTCGAGCCGGCGGTTGATGCAATCAAAAGCATATTGCTGGTGACGCTTCTGGCCGTCCATGATGTGCCCTGGCAGCAACTTCTCCAACACGAATTCCAGCCACGGCCAGTATCGCGGCGCAGCAGCGATGGTCATCCCCTTGAGAAAGAAGAACAGGGTGCGAACCCAGTCATGATACTCCCCCTTGGCGAGGCAGCCGAAGGGCTCCCCAAAGGCAAGATCGCCAATCACATCCATCGTGAAGAAGTTCAGCCAGTTCGTGAGATTCACGAGCCCACAGGCCTCCCCCCCACCGGCTTCCTTGGTCGCAAGGCGGCGCAACTGGTCGATGAAGACATCCGCATGCCCCTGGACCAGCGGGGCCTGCTCGCGCAACGCATTTTCGGTGAAGCTGTGGCTCATCAGGCCGCGCACGCGCGCGTGGAACTTGACATTGCTGGTGGTAATGATGTTATCCGCGATACCGTCGGGGGCTTTCATGAAGATCGGGTCGCGAATGGCGCGCTTGTGGCCCGGTCGCCAGGTGTAGATATCGTGCCAGGCCTCCTCGCTGGCGAAGGAGATTTCGTCGGGCGCCATGCGGAAGTAAGGCCCATATTGTTCGTGCAGCTCGCGCTGGCGTTTGACCAGCGAGCCTGCAAGCAGGTTGTAGACGAAGGGGATTCGCGAGGCTGCCCACAGACGCGGCCCGGGATGTTTGGCCAGCGGATGGAAGTATAGATTGTAAATGATCTGGTAGAGTGGGTAGACCAGCAGGCAAGCGACGACGACCGCGATCTGAGCCGGGCGACTGGAGTAGATCTCCAGGAATAACGTTTGCAGTAAGGTCATGGTGCAAAGGTTTAGACCAGTGGGTGCATGGAGTGTGGGTTGTTGAAGCCAGGGCTGGCAGCTGCATTATATACATACGCGCCTTCTTCGACACCAGCCAGCTTTTCTTGACCCTCCTATTCTGACGGTCTCATTCCTGCAAATTTTGCAATTGACAAGGTAATATGTAATCGTCTTGTAACCATACGAGCATACGAGCATACCGTATTACTGTGAAACCCATCCCAAAAAGCACGGGCTAAAGTAGGGCTTGATTAGCGCTGATTTCTTCTCTCCTTCTGCCCCCACGTTGCAATCGGCCCCTCCGGGGCTGCAGACTAAGGCTCTGTACGGAGATGGCCTGTGGTATACCTTGCTTGTAGTCACCAAGGAATGAGGATGGAGGATCAAGAAAGGAGGGGTAGGTAATTGATCCAACTGTTGGTTGGTCTCTTGTTCCTCCCAACTTATTTGTGGTTCATGCCACGACCTCTGGACTCCAGACTCGCCAAGTGAATCTCGCTGGTCTTGTCCAACATGCTCTCCCTTACGATTACACCGGTGCCCGTAGCGAGCCCACCCGTTGACAAGGGGGACTGGAATGGCATCGCGAATAGTTCCCTACTCGCCGCATTGCGGACTCGGCCTTTTGATATTCAGTGCGATGCTTTCGAGTACCAGGTTTCCCACAGCAACGGCTCTGACGGGCAACTGGTCCACCAGGTTCTGGACCTGGTCTGTCAGGTTTGGTGGGAAGGGAGAATGACATACAGCAAGGTGCGTATCCAAGTCCCATACCGTCGTAAATGTTGACGTATGTTGACCAATGCCAGCATGCGGACGAAAGTGTTGCCCGTCTTGCCTTGATTCAAGGATTCGCAGAACTCACCAGGAAGATACAAAGAGGTGATCTATCCCCATGGAACGAGAGCCCACATCTTCAGTCTGCCCGTGCCCCGGTGGTAATCACGCAGATGGCGGCACGAATTATGCTCCCTGATTGCCACAGGGACGTAGATGCACCGCCGATGGAGACGATCGCGCGCGACTATCTAAGCCTGCGAGGGCTGCTGGCTCTGCCGTGGATGCAGATTCTTGAACCAGAGCTGCAGGCCGCGATTGCCTCCCGACGACAAATCCTGATCGCAGCAGCGAGGGACGAGACCAACCTCTCCCCCGTAGCCTGCTCACTTGTCCGCGTGGCTCTAGCAACTGAACCCGACCACGCCCCTGTGTCTCTGGATCCACAGGCACAAAAGCAGGCGAAGAGGCTCAGTCAGTTCGCGCAGTACTTCGCACGCGCGGATTACCTCTCCGACCAGAGCAGCATCGCCATCAAGGCGGCAATCCTCGAAGGCTCGTTCTACACCACTTTGTTACAGTCTAAGCGAGCTGCTTGCATGTTCCCTATGACCGAGTCCCCCGAGCAGGACAGGTATCTCCAGTACATCCCAGTGTTGATTACCATCCCCAGCACGACCTCGGAGGGCTGCTACACGCCGCAGTGGCTGTTCGACCTAGCGCAGTGGTCCATGTACATCTTCCTAGTGGACGAGTACATGGAATCGGTGGTGGTGCACTTTTCCACCGACGAGCTGGCGCAGTTCTGCGCGGGCCTGGAGCTCATCCATCCCTATCCAGATCCAGGAGAGTCTATCATCGGCGTGCCCCAACTCCTCTCCCATCAGGCAGGCAAACAACCACTGCAAAATGCAGCAGCGGCCCCCAACGTTCAAGCCGCACTCTCCGTCTACTACACCTGGGCACGGGAGATGCTCAACTGGGACCGACTGTCGCGGTGCAGCGCGACCGACATGAACGAGCTGCGTTCGGAGATCAAGAAGTACCTCCTCTTCCACGCTCACCAGATCCAAGATAACCTCCGGCTGGCCGATCAGCTAGGCCGGGCCCCGACGCAGAGCAATACCGAAGCGTCCGTGGCGCGGTTCGAGTCGCCGCGCACCAGCTTCGCGACCTGGCTGCACAGTGTAGGCGCCGGCCATGTCTCTGCCCCGGTCAGTCTGGCATTTCTGGCCGCGTATATGGGCAGTTGGGTGCGGAACAGTACCAACGGCGATGACCCGCATCAGCGTCGCGACTGCTGGAGCAGCGTGATGCAAAGGGTGCTGGCTCACGAGATGAACCAGCACGTCGGCGCCTACTGCCGCCTGTACAATGATTACGGCTCGGTGCAGCGCGACCTGCGCGAGGGCAATCTCAATAGCGTGCACTTTCCAGAGTTCTGGACACACGAGATAGCAGCTGAGAGCGAGCGGACGGGGACAGACGACTGCGTGGCCCGTCTCAAGGCCACTCTGCTGCAAGTGGGAAGACACGAGCGACGTATGGCGGAGTCGCTCGGGGACGAGCTCTATAACAGTCTCGAGGGGGAAGACAACGACCAAGGCTCGCGCATCGCGGGCGCTTTGCGGGTGTATTGTCGCAACGCAGAGCTCTTCTCGGATCTGTATCTCACGCGCGATGTGACCAACTCGGTCAAATGAGCGGTGGTACTTGTTGCTGGGTTGTGTAGAAAATGTACAGGACATAGCATGGTTAGTTAGCTATACGATGATGATTTAATTCGACTAGTGCTTATGCCTTATGCCCAAGGTCGAGTTGGTAGTGGTCAGACTCCCTTGCCCGCCAATCGTAAGCCCTAATCCACTGTAAGCACGCAGTAACGCTGCTGTTGGTACAAAACTAGTTGGCCTTAAGCCATAGAAGATTGTGTCTGTCAATCAATGGTCTCATTTTAGCGCAAATACACGCGGCTTTTTCAGCCCCCAACTGTATTAAAATCCACTATTTACTCCGCCCGATGCTGGTTGTGCAGCCCCTTCTCCACATCCAGCCCCTCTTTGTATTGCCAGCTCACCGGCTGCTCTCATCCTCTCGTACCACAAACTTTGAAGACACAAGGATACTTCTTGTCCTTGTGGGAGAGGTAGACCCCTTCAGATCGCTCATGTTAGCGGACTCCAGGTCCTCGCTGAAACTATCCGACCGTACTGCCTCTGCACGGTGATTGCCCGACCGACCCCCCGTCTGCAGCAACTCGGTGTCCTGCAGTCGGTTGAACGGACGCGCGGCAGACGACACCCCGGTATTGTGGCTCGTATCTTTGGACCCAGTCGCCTGTGAGCCAAAGGTCGAGTTGTAGCGACGACGAAGCCGCGAGGAGACCTGCGGCAGGAAAGGGAGGCACGCAATCAGGATGCCCAGGGTAGGCTCGAGCCCCGTAATGAAATCGACCAGGGCGTTCTGCTTGGGCAGGTCGTCCGCCATATAAACGTACGAGGCGATGAGCCGCACGACCGTCAGCGTGCAGACCACGACACCCAGCCCGAGCACGAGGCTGAGCCCCCATTTCTTGCTGGTTTTGATCTGCAGCCGCCACAGCAGGGGCATGGGGAGCACAACTACCAGACCATCGAAGAGGATGGCCGACGCCGCCGTGTAGGTCTCGTAGGCCATGGCATTGCCGCAGTGCCCCTTGCCCACGCGGAGGAAGACGTACGACATGGGCTGGCAGATGGACAAGGCGATGATGAAGACAGTGATGAAGTTGGCGATGTTGATTCCAATCAGGACCATAGTGAGCTTGCAGAAGGTGCGCACCGGGTGGAACAGTTGCTGGTAGAAGAGCATCATGGAGATTCGGATCGAGGTCGTCCCTGCGTTCCAGAGGATTTCCGTGGGCGCGAAGAGCTGGGAGTTGCTGTCAGACACACCGTGAAAGCAAAAGCAAAAAAAAAAAAGCCCCGAGGCGACCTGACTCACCTTCCAGGACTCATTCAGATCCCCCAGTGTAAAGTGGCTCGTGGTCATGCCATAGCCGTGGGCATAGGTATCGTACATGGCCACCACGAGGCCGATTGTCGCCAACTGAACCCCCGTGAGCTACCGGTGACACGGATAATTGGAGGACATACGTACGAATCCGAAAATCAAGACATAGTCGCTTAAATCAGAGTGTTTGGCACGGATGACAAGACGGGAAACGAGAAGGCAGAAATCCAAGATCAGCAGCAAGATGATGATGCCGATGAAAGCCTTGCCCTCATGGTTGGCAGGGTCGATGGTCCAACCCATGATGCTGTCAGGCGTTGAAAGACAAGAGATCGAGATAATTCAAAAGAAGAACATACACCAGAAGACGGACCAGACACAAGGACGCTGAGAGAGGTGGGACAGAAGAGAGGTGCATGGCGGGATTAAGAGCTTTGACATGCCCAGGGATCGATAAGCGCCAGACTTGACCCCCACCGTGAAGGATGCAGCTAAACCTGCATGAGGCAGACTGAATCATGGAAGAGTGTATCTGTCTGTACTGTACCATCTTTACAGCTTACATCGTACATCTTACATCTTACAGCTGGCATGGGGGAGGAGTTCGCTTATCCCCTCCTCTGTTTAGTCGCTCGACATCCTTGCCAGGGTTGAAAGAACTCAGCCCCCTCCCCCTTTCCTTTTCTTGGGGTCCTTTCCTCCAACCCACAATCCTTCGTTGGGGCCTTCAATCTACTGTTGTCTCATTGCCTCACTCTCACTCTCACCGAGGTGTTCTGTTTGCATCATGTCCGAGTTTGAGAAGCAGCAGACAACCACCATCATCACCGCTGGGGACGATGGTAAAAAAGCAGAGATTGCGTATCCTACGGGTCTTCGCCTGGTCGTCATCATGCTCTCCCTCTCATTGGGAACCTTTCTGATGGCGCTGGACAGCACGATCATCTCGGTGGCTACTCCCAAGATCTCGACCGACTTCCATGCCTTGGACGAGGTGGGCTGGTATGGCGCTGCCTACGGGATGACTTTGTGCGCATTCACCCCGGTGCTGTCCAGTTTCTACAAGCACTTCAACCCTAAGATTGTGTATCTGGTGGTAATCATTGTTTTCGAAGGTATATAGTTATGCTATTTCTTCCCCCCTTTAAATACTTGATCTTATAGAAACTGACAGTAGCAAGTGGGATCGGTCGTCTGCGCTGCGGCGCCCTCGTCGGCCGCATTCATCATCGGTCGCGCGATCGCAGGGCTTGGAGCTGGGGGATTGCTTCAAGGAGCATTCGGCCTGTTGACCTATGTCTGCGATCTCAAGACCCGTCCACTCTTCATGGCCATCATTGTCAGTCTGTTTGGCCTCATGTCGGGGCTAGGCCCGCTGATCGGGGGTGCTTTTACGGTCGATGTGACATGGCGCTGGTGCTTTTGGATGTCAGGCCTTCCCCACCCCTGAAATCACCTCGTCTGTAACTAACCAGGTCCATTTATGCAGTAACCTTCCAGTCGGAGGCGCAGTGTTTGTGCTTGTCGCGCTGTTCATGAAACTCGTTGGTGTGGACCCTGGGCCTCGCCAACTGCCTCTCCGCGAGAAGCTGCGCGGTCTCGATGGACTCGGGGTTGTTCTGCTGTTATCCTCTGTGATCTGCCTCTTCCTCGCCCTCCAGATCGGAGGCAATCAAGTGCCCTGGTCCGACTCCAAACCGATTGGTCTGTTCGTAGGCTTTGGTCTCCTGGCGATTGCCTTTGGATTCTGGCAGTGGAAGGCCGGCGACCAGGCGACGATCCCCCTCCGGTTCTTCCGCGACCGAACCGTCATTTGGGGCAGTCTGTACCTGTTCTGGGATAACATGGCCAACTACATTGCCATCTACTACATGCCGTACTACTTCCAAGCCGGACGTGGGGCCACCCCCATCCGCAGCGCCGTGGAGTACATCTCGCTGGCGGCGCCGCTGATGGTCGGGCTTTTAGCAGGGGGAGGCATCACGACAGCCACCGGCCACTACATGCCGGTCATCCTCTTCGCGCAGCTGCTGACAGCCGTCGGCGCGGGTCTCCTGACGACCATCCGGATAGAGACGAGCACGGCGCAGTGGGCGACGTACATGGCCCTGACGGGGGCCGGGCTGGGGCTGGGGGTCAATGTGCCGCATATCGCGATCCAGGCAGTCTTCGAGTCTGACAACGACATCTTCATCGCCAATGGGATCGCGAGTTTCTTCGGCCAGCTGGGCGGTGCTCTGGGCGTTCCCATCGCCAACGCCATACTGCTGAACGGCCTGCACACCGAGGTGCCCCGCTACGTGACGGGCATCTCGGCAGACGCTGTCATGGCGGCGGGAGCCACCGGCGTGGAAACCCTGTCTTCTTCCCCGGGGGTGATTCGCGGTCTGCGCGCGGCGTGGTCGGTCGCGGTGGCAGATGTGAATATTCTGCTTGTGGCTATTATCTGTGTGTCTGTGCCGACGGCACTGGGGATGAAGTGGTTGAATTTGAAGAAGATCTCGGCGGAGAGGGATGCAGAGAAGAGAGAAGCTGCTGCTGCTGCCGGTGGTCAGGCTGCTCTTGAATCTACTGATTAGACTCTGCTCTGACTGCGCATAGCAGAGACAGATGGTTTTCGATAAGAAGCAGACAAACAAAGAAAGCGTTACCATTCATCATAGATCACTAGGCCAACATTGTATAGGTACTCCATTGAATCCTCCTCCTCCTCCATCTGACATCGATAGACCGACACCATAGCCCCTGAATAAACGCATTTCGACGGGTTCCTTCGTTTTTTTTCTTTTTTATTTTTTTATTTTTTTTATTTATTTTCTTTTGCAAATATGGGATCACGTATTGCAGTACGGTGGTGTCAATTTCGCGTATTAGCGGCATACCATGTAAAATACAGTAAGAGCGGCCGCAATACCCGGGGACAAAATAAGCCCCCAAGGCCGTCAGCAAGCATTCGGAGTTAGTTTCCTGCAGCAAGGCGCACGGTGCCATCTCCTTCAGGGCCACGGCCCGCCTCCTCGAGGATGAACAACCTCACATCCGCAACGGGTGCTCGAGCCCTCGACGGCCCCCAATCCTTCGGTGGGGGCAGTGGCCCCTGCTGTGCGCCTTGGCCTGCCATCCATTGGCTTGCATCGCCAGTATCGTGCTGTCTCCCGTGTGTTGACGGTTTGAAGGAGGCTGAGCAAGGTGCCGTCTTTGCTATTCTCATGGCTTGGCTGTCCAGCACAGTGCATGTCCGATATATCCGGTATGTCAGGTGTCATGATCAGGGCGGGAAATCCTATGCTCGGCCGGCTCCTTTTCGCCCCCACATGGCTCCATATATCTAGATCGACACATGGGGAGCTGTCCGAGACAGAAGAGAAAACGAGACGTGAGCACCCAGGGAGAAAGTTCCTGTCACATCAATTCAGCGATGGCTATTGACGACACCCAAACAGGTCCTTTCATGGACATCCTGTCTGTAGCAGGGGCGAATGATCCCGGAAGCAGCAACACTGGATCGCCTTCGAGTCCTTCCATCCTCCCCCCCAGTCCGAAACTCATCAATTACCAGCGCCTTCCTGCCTCGAATGGAAGCTATGGTGGAGGGATTAGCCTTCCTCCAGCTATGAAGCAACTGGTGGAGGAGTCCCCCGAGCAGCAGCTTTTGGAGGTGGATCCCCTTGCCAGTACTACTCAAACCGAGGTACGTCTTTACTCTGCTCATGCGTTATAAATCTGTTGCAACGCGGTTGACCAACCCGTGCTTGGCGTGACATGCAGCCCATCATGGCGCCCTTCCGGTACATGTCGTCGTTGCCTTCCAAAGGCGTCCGAGATCAGTTGCTGGAAGCCCTGAATGTATGGGTCGGGACCCCGCGAGACTTGCTCCCTCAGGTCGGCGCCATTGTGGCCGATATCCATAATATCTCTTTGATGTGAGGGCTGCCATGCTTTCCATGATTTGATTATAATTTTTTTAATGGGAGCTAAAGTTTCTGATCGCTGGGCAGGCTGGACGACGTGGAGGACGGATCCCCACTGCGCCGCTCGCGGCCCGCCGCACACACGGTATTCGGCATTGCACAAACCATTAATGCTGCCTCGTATCAGCTCGTCGACGTGATCAGCCGTGCATCAGAGATGGGGACGGAGTGTCAATCCATCATAATAGGTGCATGCTCTCCGGGTTCTCCCAGGCCGGCCAACATACCCAGATAGCTAACGGCACCCCAGACGCAATGAAGAAAATGTTGATCGGCCAGAGCCTGGACCTACATTGGGTCCAACACGTCTCCCCACCAACCCTCCAGGAATATCTCCAGATGATTGACGGAAGTGAGCTGCCACTTGCCCTGCATTTTCAACCACTCCCAGAGCAACCCATTAATAATTGTGACTCAGAAACCGGCGCGTTATTCTGCATGATCGAGCGCTTAATGACCTCCCTCAGCCATTCAACCACCACGCAACCCCCTACCCCAAGCCCAATCTCTTCCTCCCCAGTCTCCAGCCTCAGCAATCTCCTCATCCTCTTTGGGCGTTTCTTCCAAGTCCGCGACGACTACGCAAACCTAGTAGATGATCAGGTACGCCCTTCTCCTTCTCCAATTTCAACCGACAGCCCCCATCCCTGCGCACCAAACAACCCATAGCAATCCCCTGACTGACTCTGCTGAAAAAAAAAAGTACCAAGCGGCTAAAGGCCACTGCGAAGATCTCGACGAAGGCAAATGGAGCTTCATCCTGCTGCACGCGCTGGAATACGCCACGCCGACCACCCGCTCCCTTCTCATGAATCTTCTCATGCAACGACACGCACTGGGCTGCGCCGGCCGCGGACACAAGCAGCTCATCCTGCAGATCCTGCGAGAGGAGACCAAGTCGCTGGCTTACACGGCGAGCGCGCTGGAGACGCTGCGTCAGGCGATTGAGGGGGAGATTCGGCGGGTGGAGGTTTTCACCGGGGTGGCCAACCCGTTGCTTAGGGGGATGGTGGAGCGGTTGCGGGTGAGGATGTAGGTTTGGGGGGATCGGTTTGGCGTTTAGGAGATGGCGTTTTTGTTGTGAGGCGCGCTGATAAGCCAGTTTTACTTTAGCTGTTAATTGCCATGATTCACATATTGCATGCATGCATTCTTAGTTCTGTCTATATTAGCCTCGCTGGCTAAAGAGCAAGCACACACACAACCACAGGGCATGGAAAATAGGACCGGATTTCTGTTAGAAAAACACAATTCTCCATTCTCACTGAATACTAGAACGAACGACTCGAAGTTCCGCCTTCCAATCCCGAACCGCGGAACCGCAACTCCGACGTCATCGGCCCTGATCCACTTTTCTTCGTGTTGGACCTTCCTCACTCCCTTTCTCTTAGCAATTCCCCGCGGGCGAACCCCGATGCAGGCCCTGGGACGTGGAGACACCGGTACAATAGGCTATAAAAACCCCCCATCCCAGCTTGTCACATAACCCAACTTGACTCTTTACCCCGAACAAACCCTTTCCCTCTATATCCATACTATACCAAACCAACCCACCCACCCACCACGATAACCAAAATGGAAGACCGACCCCTCACCCAAGTCAGCACCGACGTACGTTAGATCCCCCGCGGGGCCCTTAAAAGAAAAAAAAAAACATCCCTCCCGAATACACTCACATAACCAACCCCCAAAAATAATACTAACAAATATCAAAGCCAATCACCCTAACCGCCCACGAAACCTCCCCGGCCTTGATCTTCAGCACATTCACCTCCACCACGGCCTTCAACCTCGGCCTGGCCCTCCGGAACCGGATCCTCGGCCTCCCGGCCACATCCCGCAAACCGGCCCTCATCAGCATCACGCTGACCACGGCGCCCTTACCCGCCGCCTCCTCCACGGACGCCACGATCCCGCCGCACGTCGTCTTCCAATGCGCCACGGAACCCGGCACGATCCCGGACAACGAGGTGTGGGTGCGCCGGAAACGGAATACCGTGCTGCGGTGGGGGGTGAGTAGTTGGCTGATGCGCAACAAGTTGCTGTCCACCTTGGCAGATACGGAGAAGGGTGGGGTGGAGGCGGCGTTTGTCAAGAAGTATGCGCTGCGGTCGAGTAATGGTGGGGCGGTGGCGGATGATTATGCTATTCATGGGGGGGGGTTCCCTGTCCGAGTGCGCGGGGTGGATGGGGTGGTGGGCGTCATTGTGGTCAGTGGGTTGAAGCAGGAGGATGATCACCAGGTGATTGTCGATGTGGTGAGGGAGTTTATTTCCCAGGGTGGTGGTGCGGAGGTGCCCTCTTAAAACCTCGAGGGGGGAATGTCTCTACAGTATTCAGGATAAGGAAGGTTGTATAAATGGACTAATCAATCTCACACTACTGTCGGACTTCAGTCTGGGAGTCTAACTCTATTCATTTCAAGTGACGGGTCAAGTAGAGAGCATCGGTGAGAGCATCTAGGATAGGTATCATATTTAAACTATCAAACCAAAACGTTGGTTGGTCTTGAACAATCAAGCAATGCAAACTCCTTAAACAATCCCTCTAAGAATAACTTATTTTACAATTCGTCATGGCCATACGCCTCGTCATCCTCATCGGCCGGGGCAGAGCCATACAGCTTGCTGGTGATGGGGTACGCCACGTTGGACAGCTGCTCCTTCTGCTCCTCGAAGTCCTCCGTGGTAGCAGTGGCAGCGTTGTCCTCCAGCCAGTCAGTCACCTCCTTGACAGCATCCAGAATGGTCTGCTTGTCGTCCTCGTCGATCTGGCCGCCCAGCCCGTTCTCGTCGTTGACCTGGTTCTTCAGGCTGAAGGCATAGTTCTCCAGTCCGTTGCGGGCCTCGATCTTGGCCTTGATGGCCTTGTCCTCATCCGCGAACTGCTCCGCCTCGGCCACCATGCGCTCGATCTCCTCCTGGGACAGACGGCCCTTGTCATTGGTGATGGTGATGGACTCGGCCTTGCCGGTGCCCTTGTCGCTGGCGCTGACCTTCAGGATTCCGTTGGCATCGAGGTCGAAGGAGACCTCAATCTGAGGAACACCACGAGGAGCCGGGGGGATGCTGGTAAGCTCGAACTTGCCGAGCAGGTTGTTGTCCTTGGTCAGGGAACGCTCACCCTCGTCTAGAGCCCGGTTAGTATCCGACGGACCAAAACATCAACACGAGTCAACTTACAAACTTGGATGAGAACGGTGGGCTGGTTGTCAGCGGCGGTGGAGAAGATCTGGGACTTGCGGGTGGGGATGACGGTGTTTCTGGGGATCAACTTGGTCATGACACCACCAGTGGTCTCGATACCGAGGGTCAAGGGGTTGACGTCCATCAGAACGACACCACCGGTACCCTCCTCACCAGACAGAACACCACCCTGGACGGCAGCACCGAAAGCGACAGCCTCGTCGGGGTTGATACCCTTGCTGGCCTTCTTGCCACCGAAGAACTCCTCCAGGAGAGCCTGGACCTTGGGGATACGGGTGGAACCACCGACAAGGACAATGTCGTCAACCTCGGACTTCTTGACCTTGGCGTCCTTGAGAACCTGCTCAACAGGCTTCAGGGTCTTCTTGAACAGATCCATGTTCAGCTCCTCGAACTTGGCACGGGTCAGGGTCTCGGAGAAGTCCTCGCCGTTGTGGAAGGCCTCGATCTCAATGCGAGTAGACATCTGCGAAGACAGAGTACGCTTGGCCTTCTCGACCTCACGCTTGAGCTTACCCATGGCCTTGAGGTCCTTGCGGACGTCGACGTCGTTCTTCTTGTTGTACTGCTTGACAAAGTAGTCCATGACACGGTGGTCGAAATCCTCACCACCAAGGTGGGTGTCACCAGCGGTAGCCAAGACCTCGAAGACACCGTCGTCGATCGACAGAAGGGAGACATCGAAAGTACCACCACCAAGATCGTAGACGATGACCTGGCGCTCACCATCAGTCTTGTCCAGACCGTAGGCGATAGCGGCGGCGGTGGGCTCGTTGACAACACGGAGGACGTTGAGACCGGCAATGACACCGGCATCCTTGGTGGCCTGTCTCTGGGCGTCGTTGAAGTAGGCGGGGACGGTGACAACGGCGTGGGTAACCTTCTTGCCGAGGTAGCCCTCAGCGATCTCCTTCATCTTACCCAGAACCATGGCGGAAACCTCCTCGGGAGTCAGGATCTTGGGGGTCTGGTTGACCTCGACCTTGACAACGGGCTTGCCATCCTTGTTGACGACCTTGTAGGGGAAGTTCTTGGCGTCCTTCTGAACATCGGTGTCGTCGAACTTGCGACCAATCAGACGCCTAGACATTTGTTAGCACCACTCAATCCGATCCCCACGAACCCAAGAGAAAAACTCACTTGATGTCGAAGATGGTGCGGCGGGGGTTGGCGGCGTATTGGTTCTTGGCGGCGTCACCGACGAGACGTTCCTCATCGGTGAAGGCAACGTAGGAGGGAGTGATACGGTTTCCTTGGTCGTTGGCGAGAATTTCAACCTTGCCGTTCTGCATCACACCAACACAACTGCAGGCCACATGGTTAGTCTAAGTTCGCGTCTCAAAGACCGCACATGCTCCTTCGATAGAATCAACTCACGAGTAGGTGGTTCCCAAGTCGATACCAATGACAGTGCCGTAGTTATCTTGTACTGACGAATCATCCTGAGCGTGTGCGGTTCCGAGGAAAGCCAAAGGCGCAATGAAAACAAGAAGCAGATAGAAAACGGTGGTCCAAGCCGTGAAGGGCTTGGCCGCACCCTGGCGAGCGGAAACGCGCGCCATGGTCGGTATGTGTGTTTGTGTATGTGTATATGTGTGTAGTTACAGTCCTCACCACAGGACACGTAGCGATGTTTCTTTCGAGATCACAAAATGTGAAACTCCCTTTTCTCTCGTCAACAGTGTGTACCTGTCACGCGAAGAGAAAGAAAAGAAAGAGGATGATAGGGAGAAAGGGAGGGAGGGAGAGAGGGGGGGAGGTTGGGTGAAAAGAAAGGCGACGAGGAAAGGGAAGAGAAGAGAGAAAGAATGTCTGGGAGGAGCTTCAGCCAGCTTTGTATGTTCCTTCTTGTATGGGATGGCGGCGGCAAAGAAAGCGCAGCGGCCATGCTGGCCTTTTCGCGGATATGGCATTTAAGGTTACTTCTCGCGCTGTGATTGGTGGAGAGCGCGTTCAGGGCGCCGGCTGACTCAGCAATGCAGGAACACCGCCCGGGATTCTGCCGGCCCAATTTTCCAGGCGGTTCGTCGAACTTGCTAGAATCGCATTCCGATTTGTTCGCTTGCTCCGCCTTCCCGAGGTTCGTCCACCTTGCAGACACTCGAACTTGTCCCGATCTGGCCAGTTGGTCATTTTGGAGACCGTATTCTCCGGTCCCAATCCTGCTCATTCCACTCATTCTTGCGGCGTTCCATTGCTGTCAACCTACAGGAATCAGACAACTGTCCCTATTTCCTGTCCGCGGGGTCGGGTGGCTGTCCATTATCCCTACTCCGGCCTTTTCTTCATCCTCATCATCAACACTTTGACTCATAACCAAGCCACCAGGGTCTCGAGTTTGAGGAAAGTGGATACCTCTCCACTCAGGAGGCTTCCCGGCTTCCCTTGCTTTCAGTTTCGGCCACTCTGTTCAAGACCCGTGAGTCCGTGACGCTTAAGGCCAGTTTCAGTTGGTTTTGTCAGTATGTCACAGGGTCTGACAGGGCTAGTCTAGAAGGGACTACGACGGCCACGGCTGTCGTGGCATCTTCGAGATCCTCTATCTAGTTCAGGCCAGGCTGGCAAGATGGACATCACGCATGGATACTCAGCACGAGTCATTGTCCAGTATACCCCCTGAGACTTCAGAAAAAAAAAAGTAGAAGAAATAAAGAACTGTCTATGTAGTAAATGCCGCATCTACATGCGTAACAACCGTCTGCTTCTATCTACTCCAACAAGCCAGCGGCCACGGTCTCGCCTCCGGCTCGAAGAACAATCCGCGTAGGCGCTTCTAGAGGCACCGCTTGGTCCATTTCCACGACAATCCGCGCCACTGTACCTGGCGCCACAATCTTGGGCTTCTTCTTGAGGATGTTGCCAGATTGTTTATCCAGAGTTGCCACGAGCCGACTGATCCGTCCCGGCACATGCAGACGACCCCGGTGGATGTCCACCATGCTAGGCAGCAGGTGGTCGAAGGCCAACACTTTGCACGTAAAGGAAGTGACATTGGCAATCGGCGCGGACGCCCGGCAGATCACATCACCCGATCGAAGGTGGATGGGATCAATGTTGGCCAGGTTCAGGACGACGTTCTGACCCGCCACGGCCCAGTCACTGGGTTCTCCGTCTACTTCCAAGCTCCGGATGGTGGCAGTCTCCCCGCTGGGCATGGTCAAGATTTGATCGCCCACTTGTAAGCTACCCGCATCTATGCGGCCAGATATCGACAAGGGGTTCTGAACGCTACCACGGAACACATCACCAATCGTCATTCGAAGGGGTTTGTCAACCGCATGGGAATAAGGCTCCGTGGCCTCAAGCTCGTCAACTAGGGTGCGCCCTTGGTACCACGACACGTTCGGGTCATCGCTGCGTCGGGTGACATTATCGCCGCTGATACCAGAGCAAGGCACAAAGTTGATGTTCTTGGGCTGGAAGCCGGCAGTCGTCAGGAAAGACGAGACCTGCTGCTCAATCTCGTCGAAACGCTCTTTGTCCCACTGTACAGAGTCCATCTTGTTCACAGCCACAATGATCCTCTGCACGCCCATACTCCGCACTAACAAAGCATGCTCTTTGGTCTGTCCCTTCAGCCCGGACTCGAAGTTGCCGATACTGGAGTCAATCACAAGGACGGCAAAGTCAGCCTGACTGGCACCGGCGATCATGTTGGGCACAAAATCACGGTGGCCGGGAGCATCGACAATCGTGAACACCGTCTTCTCCGTCTCGAACTTGTTGGTGGCGATGTCAATAGTCACCCCTCTTGCTCTCTCTTCCGCACCTTGGTCCAGGACCCAGGCGAGAGCAAACGATCCTTTCCCAATCTTCTCTGCCTCTCGCTTGTATTTATCGAGCGTGCGCTGGTCGATCGCCTTCAGATCAGCAAGCAAGCGGCCCATCAACGTACTCTTTCCCGCATCAACATGGCCTATCCTGCTATTAGCAGGCGATGCCATCGAAAACGCTGGGGGCTGAGTTTACTCACCAATAACCGCGAAATTCATCGCTCTCTTCCGTTCCGCTTTGCTATACTCTGACAAAACATCCAAGTTCTTGCTCTTGATATTCACCTTCTCCTCAACGCTGAGGTCATTCATCCCACCCGTCAGGTCAGCCTGCGCTTTCTTGTTACCTGCCGATTTGGAAGCAGGCTGTTTCGATTTGAAGCCTGCACGTCCATTAGGGGGAGATCCTATATCTTGCGCCGAATAGCCAAACCTTTAGCAGAGCTTTGTGCGTTAATGACAACATCGTCGGGGCTGGGGCCTGCAAAGTCAAAGGGTTCAGTGAGATCCTGTCCGTAGATTCTGATCAAGTCAAGAGTGTTTGCGGATAAGTGGCTGGGCTCGGTCATCTTCAGCCGGGTCGCAACCCCGACAATGGCGCTGGCAAATGTGGACGGCGGTGCGCGGATGTTCACGGCAGCCTGCTCTGTCTCCTTGCCGGTCGCAGGTGTCTTCGGCTCTGGGCT